CGGACTAGATAATCTGCTCAGGTCCCTTCCGACCCTAGAAACTATGAAACTATGAAACTATCTCCTGCCAAAGCCAATGTAATTTATTGTGGAGTTTCTACTTAAGCCTATATTGAGGTAAGACATGACAAACAAACAAGGCTGAAGCTCCAGTCATTTTTCTATTTTATCATAAATGTGCTATCTGTTCCTTCCAGATTTAGAAGAAAAAATGGTTACTTTTGAACATATTGGGTATTTCAAACAGATTGCATTTTTCTTGTAAATGGTACTAGCTGGGGCATAATTAGAACTGAATTTCCAATGGCCAAATCTAGCCTCCACTGACAGTGAAGAGTTTTTTTAGCAGACATCTGGGGCAATACTATCACATTAAAGGAAACTAATGTGTGGGGAGGATACAGGCAACTGGCAGTGGGTGGGCCTGATGCAGGTATAGCCAGTGGATCTGCTCCTATTCAGATATTCCCATTTTTACATTTATAAGGGGAGGCTAAGGAAAAGGCAAAGTAGAATCTGAATCCTCCCACATGGCCAAATATAGCTTATGGAAGTATCAATGCTCTGCTTTCCTGGTCTTTGAATATATTCTATGTTGTTAGTATCCAAAAGCTTTAAATTACAAAATACCATTTCCTGGAGGAATTCCTTTGGTTGGCCCATTTTACTTCCAACTGCCCAATGGCATGCCTGTCATGGCAGATGCTCTGCTTTTATTCTTAACATGTGTCTCAGTGGCAGGAGTAGCTTATAGACAGTAGTTCCCCCAGTTATTCTGTGGTTTAGGGGAAGGATTTCTCTCCATTGAGCATCTGCCCAATGCTTTGTTGTCTCCTCAGGCAAGGTGCTAGATTTAGATCTACTAATTATAAAGACTAATCTCTCTCCAGTATAACTATTAACAGCTCTGACTTGGCACACAAAACTACCACCAATCAGGCACAGAGGAAAAAATAATAAATAAATGCCACCTTTGATAGATGATCATTGTATGAATGTCCTAAATGGCAAAATCCAAACAATTATCAGCTTTACAAAACAACATTTCTTATAACATGAGATTAATATGCACACAATTCAATTGGTTGTTGTGATACAAATCAAGGATCCAAACAATTCAGTACTCTTTCA